TAATGTAGCAGGAATAAGAGAGCATTCAGGGGACAGAATGTGAGATATTTCCAGAAGCTTCACAGTGTCTGAATATAGCAAAGAACCAAGAAGCTTAATTGAAAACGCCCCTGGATTAATCAAGAATGTTTGTGATCAATGAAACAAAAGGTCAAAATTTCTCTTGATTGCAATATAACACAATCTCAAGACTGAACCATTAAACCTTTAGATGCCTTACAGAGAGATTTTTGACTCTGTAATTATTTTTAAGAGAGATTTTTGCTACAGGGCACATGCACTTACCAGAGAGTCAGAGAGACAGAAAGCGAGAAATCACCCGCCAGGGGGGATGGTCACACCGCAGTCCCTTCAGGTCCCAGCACCTGATGTGAGTTTTAAGCCCCCAGGTCTGAGATACAAACCATAGTCCACCACATGAGAGTCCAGTGACATAACCATTGTACCATCTGCTTGTCCTGACTGCAGTTCTTAAAAATTAGCTTCAACATAAGGGGCAACTGGGAATCAGCAGTTAGCGTAATGGCTATGTCGCTGGACTCCCACATAGTCAACCGTGGTTCGCGTCCCGGACCCGGTGGCTTAAAACTCACGCCGGGTGCGTGTGCGTGCATGCCCAAGATCCCGAGAGGAGAATGGAGGAGAAGGGATTGTGGCGTGACCATCCCCCCGGGGGGTGATTTCTCGCTTTCTGTCTCTATGTCTGTCTCTGTCTGTCTGCCTAGCGCATGCACCCTATAGTGAAAATCTCTCAAAAAAAAAAAAAAAAAAAAACCATAAGGGGCAACCTTGTATTACCTGTTACCTGCAGTTAGCTGGTCTTCTGTAATGACCTCCAGCTCTCTACCTTCATTCTCGCAAGCATGTTCCCAGTCTGTTGAGATTAGGGTGAAGCCAGACTGATTATGCAGAATTTGTGTCAGAGTACTCCAAAGTCAAATGCAGGTGATTTGGGATTTTTCTCTTGCTTTACTAAATTTGCCTCATTTCCTTTTTTTAGGTGTATTTAATTGTGTATTGCCTCATGTGCTTAGTGAATACTTATTATTCTCTAATACTTACTTAGAATTCTCTAATACTTAAGGCTGAGCCTTGTAAAAAGTTTGGAAAATATTCTGTTTTTTTTGTTTTGTTTTTTGTTTTTTAACTACTGGTGTATTACATTTAGTGGTCCATCTTGAACTTTCACAGAATACTCAGTAATAAAAATCCATTTTGAAGAGAGATCTAATACTGCTAACATTCGCAACTGTGACTATCACAATACTTTAATATTTATTAAGAACTCTCACAAGATCTTATTTTGACTCACCCTAAGTTTCTGAGGTTTGAAGCTAACAGTTGGGTGCTAGATTGGAGGACTAGGGTATGAGCGTTTTAGAAATAATTAGATCTGAAATGTTATAATGTGCTTATGATACATGCTAACTGATACGTTGTCCATCAGTTAAGATCATCTACATCTGTTTATTTTGCATTGTGATTGGTGAAGCCTAGTGTCCAAGGAGACCTTGGGAAAGAGAGGGCGAGGGTGGAATAAGGGAGGGACATTGGCCAGGCCGTGGTGCCTGTTGCCCAAGCCCACACATACTGTAACTCCTATTTTTATGTCCTCATATATTTGGTTTTTATGTAAATTTATTTTGAATAAAGTACTTCATGGCTTAAAAAGTTGAAAAGCCCCTAATATAAATCACTAACGTTGCTTCAATAATGAAGGATTAAATCCATGTATTTAGGGGTTCAATAATCTGTTGTTATGCTCTGGCATTCTAATAGCTAAAGGGACAAAATCAGACACATTTGATTGTAGAGCTTAGATTTTATTCTACATACCTGAGACTGTGCTTTCTCTTTTTTTTTTTTTTTTGAGAAGTTTTCGCTATAGGGCACGTGCACTCGCCAGACAGAGAGAGACAGAGAGACAGAAAGCAAAAAATCACCCCCCAGGAGGGATGGCCACACCGCAATCCCTTCCCCTCCATTCTCCTCTCGGGATCCCGGGCCCGGACATGAGTTTTAAGCCGCCAGGTCTGGGACACGAACCGCGGTCGATTACGTGGGAGTCCAGTGACATAGCCATTACGCTAACTGCTGGTCCCTGTATTTTCTCTTTTACAAGTTTATACAATTTTGCATGTAAGTTTACAATAGTGGTACGTAGAAGAGCTTTTCTTCCTAGATCCTTTTCATGATCATCTGAGTACACTCCAAAAATTTATTATAAATGTCTTAGTAATATCAATAGAATAATTTTAAATGTTTTCAATGGCAAATGATAAAAAAAAAAAGTTGAACTCTGACTAGCCTATGGGATTTATTGATTTATATCTCTAAAAGTTTCAGAGCCAGTTTTATCCTAGAAGAGATTTGCTATAAAAACAAGTTCTGCCCCCTTGTACTGTCCACTTTCTGCCATGGGATAAGGCAGTACAAAGGCCTTTGCTAGATGTGGGCCCCTCTGTCTTGGGCTTTTTGACCTTCAGAACTGTAGAAAATAAGTCTCTGTTTCTTATAAATGATCTAGTCTCAGGTATTCTGTCATAGCAGAACATAGACTGAGACAGACATCCTAGGCTATGAGATAATCTACATCGATATAGGGTGAAAGGCATTTTATGCCCCTTTGGGAAGAAATACCTCCTGAGAGCAACAGGAAGAGAATGGAAATCTCATCACAATCTTCTTAGAGTTCTCATTATTTGTAATATCGACATTCACATAAATTGATATTTTATTTAGTTTTTACCACTGTTTCTTGATTTCATACCTGTGTGAGTGGCATCTCGCTCTGAGTTTAATTTCAAGTGTTTAATTTCCTTTTATTTGGGGATTTCTCCCAACTTATGAATGACTTCCTTCCATGGACCTGACCCTAAGTTGATTCTTTTGATTGCCATGAGATGAAATTCTCTGTATACAGAGAAAGAAACAAATGTTACATATCAGATTCTCTGTTGCCAATTGCAGGGCATGGCTAACTAGCTGTATTTCTTAAAGATTGATGCTATCTTATTCACTTTCCATTTCTTACACTCATGCTATATAACCATAGTTCCTCCCTGACCCAGCTGGCCATTAAGACAAATTGGTTCCAGGAGCTCAAGGCAAACGTGCTCCCAACCCAAGTGTAGCCCTTTCCAATTTCTTTGAAAAGCCCCAACTTGTTCAGATGGTGGAGGTCAAAGTGGAAGAGAGTGAGTGAGAGGATGAAGCTGTGAGTGCCTCGGGGTCACCATTCACCCAACCCTTTCTAGGTTATTACAGGCTGTAATAGCTGCTACCCCTCACCCTCTGTAGTACTTTATTGGAGTTGTCTTGTCCTTTTCATTCTCACCAGTTCCACCCTGGAACACTTATCGTAAACAATTCTTATGTTACTGTTACCAGTTTTCTCTCTGAACATGTGAAACTAAGTGCTGAGGTTATCCTGGGTCCTGAAGTGATATTTTAGTTCGTGTTGGGACCAGTAACGGCGATAGCCTTCGGTTAAGTCTCTGTAAGGAATATCTTCAGCATTTGCTGTAGGCACCAGCAGGGGTTTTCTGTGCTTTCATTCTGGATTTCAGAGCCTGGGGAGCAAAGTTATGGCTCATGTTGAAAACTACTAGAGTCGGGCCAGCAGGTGGCATGGTGGTTAAGGTGTTGGAATTCCCACATGGCCGGCTATTGTTTGAGTCTCGGACCTGGAGGATTGCTCTCTTTCTCTCTCTTTCTCTCTCTCTCTCTTTCTCTCTCTGTCTTTCTCTGGCAAAATTCATGTGAAAAATAATATTAACAGTAATAATAATAATAAATAATTTTTAAAAAGAAAACCACTGTAGTCTCTGTGGTGATTGATTTCATCGCCCATGTGTAGGCAAGGGCACAGTATTAGACCCTTAAACAAAAGGGCATGCTTTTCTTTAAATTGCTTAGGAAAACATGATTCCATAGCTGATCATTGAATTTCTAAACAAAGTTATGCAATTTTCATGTGAAAAATCTATGTGGTTCTACTGACATAGAATGTATAAAACATAAAATTTTCAAAGACCACCCTCTTTTAGGGGTGATAGAGACCAACCCCTTTTAGAGAAACCCAAACTCTTTTTCATTCAGGCTTGCAAAGGGACTGAGCTTGATGGTGGGGTCCAGGCAGACTCCAGACCGATCAATGACACAGATGCTAATCCCTGATATAAGATCCCAGTTGAAGTTGACTTTCTCTTCCCAATTCCATAATTCCAGACTATTACTCATGGAGGAGCCCAGGAAGAGGCTCCCGATTTGTGTTCCATCCTGGACGAGCATGGGAAGGACTTGGAGACCAAGCAGATCCTCATGAGGTGAACAACAGGGTGGCCAGGCTCTTCGAGTGTCACTCAGATGACCCACGCTTCCACAAGAAGAAGCAGATCCCACGTGTGGTCTCCATGCTTACCAAGGAACTTCATTTTTGTCAGTAATCATTCTGGGATCATTCTAGCTTAGAACCTATGGATCATTCATGGATTAGATTTTGTTTAATGCTCTTGAAGTATCTGGACATTTAACAGGATTTTAACTTCAAGAAAATTTATTGATTCAACAAGTAAGAAACTTTCTGGTGCTGCCTGTGTTCTCTGAATTTTGAGAGACTTTAAAAATATGTTACTCATTTGATGACTACAATTTCCTCAAGATTAATTTTCTGTTCTCATTTGATGACTACAATTTCCTCAAGATTAATTTTCTGTTCGTATTTCTTTCACCTTGCTATTGCACTTAGTACATGCAACAGAAGTGACCTCTGGAGAAGACCCTTGACTGTGTCTACAGTGGTGGCATTGAAGGAGTCAGAGTCCTGTTGGCAAACAGAATCCTAGTGCTTGACAAAAAACAGACAAGAAGATATTCATTGGCCTGTATTGCAGAAAGTGGCTATAGAGTATGGTTTGGGTGATTTTTTTTCCCCAATGGTTTAGGGCAGATTCACATGCAAAAAAATTTCCCAGATAAATTAGAAGACAAGAAACATTTTCATGATCATAGTGCACATCAGTCAGGATCCCGTCTGGAAAACAGAAAACATCTAGGTGTTTTAATAGAGGAAATTTAACACAGGAAATTGACTTAGATAGATGGTACAAGAAAAGCCAAACAGCAGGAAGTTGTTACCACACCCAGAGCTCAGAGGATAGTAGGAAGAGGCACAGTTCCTGAGTTCAAAGTTGTTACCACACCCAGAGCTCTGAGGACAGTTGGAAGAGGCATAGTTCCTGAGTTCAGAAGCTGGGATTATCCACAAGAGCTGGAACATGTGGGGTCCCTGGTGGGAAACCAGAATCATGGAAGGATTATAGAAAATGGAGCCATGATAAAGACAGAGCCACTACCTAAGATGGAGGCAAAACCAGAGCTACAGAAGATCCAGAGAAATAACCAGGCCTTGCCTCTCCTACCCTCCAGTCTTTCAACAACAGTTTACGATTCCAGCCCTACCTGGAAGCCAGCTGGTGAAGGTCCTGGGGAGTGTAATTTCCCATGGCACAGAGCAGAGCTGGAGATAGTGAGGCAAAGCAGGAACAAGAAATAGATGTAAACCTGGCCCAGAATAAGAATTTAAGTAAAGCAATCCCTCGATATTCAACAGTCCATCTACTCGATCATTTTTCCATTGAGTTGTCAGATAATCTATGTATATGCAAAATAATCTGTTCTAGCTTTAAAATACACCTAGAACTTTTTAGATTATTCTGAGCCCTATTTCAAGTAAAAAAAATGGTTACTTCTGATTTTGTAAGTGGGAGTTTATGGTAGAGACTTTTAGCACTTTGTTTTCAAGATGGTGTTTTCTTTTGAATTCTTGATAAACTACTTTTTATCTTCCTAATAACTGGTTAACAAATGTTCATATTTATTGATTAAAATGTGGTGGTTTAATGCCTTAAAAAATTCAAGGAGCTATATTAAAAAAGTAAAAAGAAACAGAAATTAATGTTAGTATATTTTATTAAACAAATACATGTAAAAATATAATTTCAGCATGTAATCAACAGAAAATTTATTAATAAAATGTTACTTTTTTCTCTGAACTAAGTCTTCAATATCTGGGATGTATTTTATACTTACAACCAATCTTAATTTTGACTAGCCAACTTTCAACAGTGTCTAGTCTTGGGAAAAGGATTTTTAGGCTCCCTAAGAGCAAATACACAGCAATTCTTAAATTTCAAGCTGCAGTGATCTTCAGCATGTCTTGCTTAGGGATAATGGTATCAATTTATTTTTGTGTTCTCAAAGGAGGTCTTTAATTGTTTGAATAATAGGAGATTCAGGCTTCAAAGTTGGGGTGGGAACTTGAGTAGATTTTCTCATAGATCTCCTATAATATTTTTGTAGACTTTGGTGAAACTATTTTTGTCTTGTTTTGTTTTAGGCTTTAAGCTAATTTTATATCAAAACCCCTTGCCTACTTTCATTTTTAAAATGAGACAGACTGACCTTAAAAAACTAGCTCTATTTTCTTTTCAGCATTTTTGCTATAATTTTTAGATACAATTTTAAAAGCTGCTAAGTTAGAACGCAGAATATGTCTATTCCTATTTTATAATTATTTATCTCTGAAAACAGATTTCCACTTAAAAGTATTTATTTTAAGGGGCCGGCAGGTGTCATGGTGGTTAAGGATGCTGGACTCCCATATGGCCAACCATAATTCATGTCCTAGACTTCGTAGCTTGCTTTCTCACTTTCTCTCTGTGTCTCCCTTTGTCTCTCTCTGGTCAAATTGAAAATTAGTGATAAATAAATAAACAAACAAATCTTTTTTTAAAAAAATTATTTTAAGATAAAGGAAGGGAGAGAAAGAAGTAACCTCAACAGGATCTCACCACTCTTCCTAGGAAGCCCAGAGTCTAGGTGTTCAGGTGACCCAGGACCCAAGTTTGGGCCTCCTGTTACTTCAGTTTTTTGCACCAGCCTTCTACTACCTGTGCTAATATGCTGGGCCTTATTTTACTTAACTTTATGATCGATGAGATTATGATTAATTAATCAGAATGTAAACGGTATAGAACTAGGCAATTAAGTATCCTTCAATCAGAATGTTGATTAACCTCCTTATTAATTTGTTTTTTCCCTCTTTCTTACACTATTCCTCCCTGATGAATATTTTCATTGTAGGTGTTATAAAATGAAGCTTTATTTTTTATCATAATAAGCTTTTAGATGGTGCTTTGTAGTACAAAAAGATTTGTTGTCACAATTTTCCTTTTTGTATAAAATCTCAGTTTATACCAGAAAGTAACCACTTAGCAACACCTAAAAAGAAGTGAACATAGGTTTTACGTGAAAATATAAAATTGTAGTTACTACAATTATTTTGCTTTTTGGAAATGTTTAACAAAATTAATAATAATTTACCCTCCTGGTTGAGAGTTGATGCCTGTGGGAAATACCTGTTGCTGGTAGCCGCCTGTATTAGTCGTATATTGCTGCGTAACTAATTACCACAAACGGAGTGGCTTAAAACTAGTTTCTTGTTTTGTTGGTCAGAGGTCTGGGCAGAATGTTGCTAGGTTCTCTGTTCAAGGTCTCACAGACTAAAATTAAGGTGTCAACTGAAACTGGGGTATCATCGGAGGCTTAGGGCCCTCTTCTAAGCTCATGTAATCATTTGCAAAATTCATTGCATTATAGCTGTTGTATTCTAGGATCACTGCCCTGCAGTCCTCTATTACTATTATAGTAATAAAATATACATAATATAAAAAAAGAATTGTCACACATCAGGACCAGCAGATGTCGTAGTAGTTATGTTGTTGAACTCCCAGGGCTGACTACAGTTTGAGTCCTGGATCTGGTGGCTTGACAATCACACCAGGCACGTACACATGTGTGACCAAGATCCTGAGAAGAAAATGGAGGAGAAGGGATTGCAGTGTGGCCATCCCCCTGGGGGGTGATTTTACACTTTTCTTCTCACCATGTCTATCTGTCTTTCTCTCTGTGTGTCTCTCCTAGTGAGTCCACATACCCTAAGGCAAAAAACCTCTTTTAAAAAAAAGGAAAGGAAAAAAAAAGAGTCACACATAAAATGGAAACTTCAAGTAAGCTCATAGAGTCTCTAAAAAACCAATCTTCTCTGAAAACAGATTTCCATCTACCTAAGTCACCACTGTAAGAAAAAACTTCTGTATATCTTGGGGCTTTTTAGGAACGTGCACCTGAAATAGCTCCAGATCCTACATAAACTCATTGGGCTTTTTGTTTTATGTATATACTAATTGCCCAAATGCATTCCTCCCTTATTTCCTGGACTCCCTGTCCCCACACTTTGCTTCATGTTAACAAAGTGACTCTAGGTAACCGTGAGATCATCCTGCTGCCCTTGTCATCGAACTCAACCAGTCACTGCTATCCAAGACTTCTTGCTAGTCTTCCCTCTCATTTCTGTCTTTAAACTTATTCTGACATCTGTAACACATGGGCACACACTATCCTGGCAACCTGGATTTGGTACTATCGGGGCGATCATCCTAACCCTAGCCCAAATAAGATCTCGAGCTTTACTTACTTGCCTCAGCCTTCTTTTATGTTAAAACACTCCTAATATTCATTTTTTTATACTCTATGACTCTGAAGGAAATAATGTTTTTCTAACAAGACAAAATTCAATTAAAGTTTTTTCCT